GATTAACTGTTTATATAATTTCATTTGTCTATTTCACCACACGTTCTTCTTACCGAGTCACTTTCTCAGTTCGATACTTAAAAGCAATGTCATTATTTAGCGTTGACAGAATTTCTAACTGTGATATAGATATGTCGTTGTCACAGACAAAACTCAATGTCTTGTTTTATTGACACCTATGTGTCTGCCTGCCCGTCTGCTAATGACAATATTCAATACACAACTTCGAACACTGACCACATGCAATTTGAACTTAACACCTATCAGGCTATACACCATAAACAAAAACGCATTGATTTATGGCCCGAGTTCGGTCTCTGTCACATTATGTAATTACACAGACAAAGAGGTGTGATACTTGTTCACATGACATGTTATGTCTGTTGATTGCAAAATGTTATACACCAAAAATGAGCATGTATTTACAAAACCCAACATCTCTATATACACACACAATGAGCCATGAAGGCGGCATCTGCTAATGAACCAGCCGTTACACTTGAGTGCACACCCACCCGCTCTGACTGGGTTCGGTATCCCAGCTGCTTCGTTTCTTGGGAAGTAAACCCAAGAATGTTCATTATTTGTTCATTATTTGTCATAATCATAAATGATAAGTGTTTTGTTACTTAGACAAAACGGGCAGTGGGGTAGCCTAGTGGTTAAAGGCGTCTGCTCGTCAGGCCGAAGACCCGGGTTCGAATCCCCACATGGGCACAATGTGTGAAGCCCATTTCTGGCGTCCCCCGCCGTGGTAATGCTGGAATATTGCTAAAAGCGCTGTAAAACCATACTCACTCACTCACTCACATAACCATCACATACATCTATTCTTTCAAATATTGAAAAAATATCTTATAAAAACAGAACTAGTATGTACATTGTATAGATGTATAACTTTGTACTATTATACACTTGACTTGGAGTCTGAGGCCCTTTTGACTTTTTGATGCGGCCCTTTTGACTTTTTGATGCGGCCCTTTTGACTAGGGGTTTGCGGCCCTTTTGACTTTCTTGTGGCCCTTTTGACTTTTCTGTTTTGGGGCCCTTTTGTCATGCGGCCCTTTTGACCTGTTCCCTAAGAAAGATAGGATTGATATCTTTCATTGATATAGAGATTGCAAGACCGACACGAAGGTAGGAACTGCATCTTATCTGCGTTTGCGAGCCGACGACAATTGCTGCGCCAGAACCAATGGACCCAGTTGGTGAAGACCTTCCACGTCAGTGCCAGACAGATCCCGGAGGTAGGGCAAGGCGAAGACCATGTCCAATCTCCAAAACAACCCTCCCTGATGGAGTGAAGGGAAATGTTTCTGTGTAGCACCATCTAGAGGCCAAAGCTCTTGTCTCATGAGGGTTGGCCATAGTAGGAGGAGGAAGGTCAGCGTAGGCGTAGGCACGAAGGATGGTAGATCGCATCCAGAATGCCAGTGTGGTACGAGAGACCTCTGTAGATGAGGCAGGTGACAGAGGAATAAACAGTCTCTTGCATAACCTACGACGGTCCTTGGAGGCAGCTAGAGTCCGGACAGGACCTAGGGAGAGATCCTCGGTGTCGTCAGGGCCCAGAATAGTAGACAGCGGCGGAAAGGTGAATAGTCTGTCCGGCTGTCCAGGCAACTGGTTTCAGCGACAAGATCCCACCTCAAACCAGGGAGGACATTCGCATGTCTGGTCCTCTCGAAGCGCAACCGGGTGACATACAGTGCGTGAAGCTCAGAGATGCGGGCAGCAGTCACAAGAGCCAGGAGGAAGAAAGTCTTAAACATGACATGCTTGAAATCCTTCTCCTCCAGAGGTTCGTATTCCTCTGACGTGAGATGGTTAAGAACCATGAAAAGGTCCCAGGCTGGTGGCCGGAACTCCCGGGATTGATCAGCAACTTTGTAAGATCTGAGGAGAGACTGGAGCTCAGGGACAGTTCACACCTTCGCACCTGTAGCCGGCGCAATAACTGTGTTAAGCACGGCCAGGTACGTAGACAAGGTAGAACCCTTCAATTCCTTGGAAGTTCTAGGATGCTGGAGGTACTCCGCAATCATCTGCGGCGATGCTGTAGTGGGAGATACAATACAATACCGTTCGTCTTGCAGTACGCTTCCAAATTCTTCCATAGCCATCACAGAGTGACCTGCTGGAAGTTTGGTGAGCCATGGTAATCGCTTAAGGGACCCACTTGGAATATCCCTTTGCAGTTAGCGATTCATGTAAATGCACCGGGTGTGAAGATGTAGTGTCTGCGGAGACCAATGCAGCTGATCGGAGTGAACATGAACCAGAAGATCGGCGCAATTGGGAAGAGGTACCGGAACGGGTTGGCCAAGTCTTGCAGGTCTACGAACAAACTTCTGGCCAGCCAAAAAGATGTGACCCAAAATCAGTGTCATCCGCTGCGTAGTGCATAACTTGAGCAGTATGCGTAAAAGTAGCCCCACTGGTGGAAACGCATACGCATTCATGTCATCCCAGTGGATGGCTAGAGCGTCGTGTTCCCTGGCCAAAGGATCTGGGATCGGGGACATGAACATTGGAAGCTGGTGATGGAAGCGGGTGGCAAACAGATCCACTTTCGGGTTTGACATCGGAAGGCACAAAGTCTGGAACACCTCCAAAATGTTGATGTGACATGCACGGTCTGCGGGAGACCACAGCCCTGCCGCCTGCTGATCGAGAAGGTGAGCTCCCCACCCGTAGAGAGGCGTCTACGTACAGGTGATGTACTGGAGCAAACGGCCTTAAAGAGACTCCGCAGCAAACATTCAACATGTCCAACCACCACTGGAGATGGGGATGGAGCACTGGAGAAAGAGGGATCAATGCGTGAGGGTCGATGATCCTAATGTGCGGACACAGAAAATGTTGGAGAGGCCGTAGTTGAAGCTATCCCCTCAGAGTCACAACTTGAACTGCCGTCAACAGACCCAGAAGTTCTTGCCATTGACAAAGAATCTTGGGTTGCCATAGCAACTCCAGTGCAGACATTCAGTTCGTCGAGCCACCACTGAAGGACTGGACGAAGCAGTTCTGGAAGGTGAATCAATTCCTTCGGGTTCAGTTTATGGCCTCGAGAGCTTGAGCTGATGTCAGAAGGCCTAGCAACTAATGCCACTGAAGAAGGAATCTCTCCTGAGATAGGATACATTCGATTAATCAAGCCAGCATGACAGTAAGAAAGAAGTGCTGAATGTAGTGGGTTCATGGCATGGAGATTGTCAGTCAATCTACAGGAACATTCACATTGTACACATAGTGATGCAGGCCGTATAATCAGTGATCGCAGGAAGGTATGGTTTGCCAAATGAAGTGTTGGTCCGCCAGATGGAGTGATAAAGTTAGTAGATGTGAGGCATGGGATCGTCAATCTACCGGAACATTTGTAAAGTTGATGGAATGGCGGAGGTAAAAGGACCAGTGACTCCAGGAACTCTGAACTGAGGACTTAGCTTAGAAAATTAGATGAAAACGTTCTCGCCTGACACCCTCGGAACTGTTTCTCTTGGCTGACTGGAAACAAGGTCATCATAAAATTGATGCCCAGTCTGTCAGGGACATAGTCAGTTTAAGATGAAGGTAAATGTCAACAAAAACATGACCAGTCAACCTCTCTTGATATCTTGCTTTTTAGTTGTTCAAAAAAAGACTGACTTTGACCTTGACATGAATGTCATAGTGTATGAAATATGCAAAAATAGTACTAAAGAAATTGCTTATTGAAACACATTCAAGGAAAATCCAGAGAATATTTTTTGCGATATCTTGCCGACTATCTTAACATACAATTTAACATGCTGAAATCTACAAAGTGTCACTGTGACCTTGAAAATAAAGTGAAGGTCACCAAAATCGACTGGTGATCGAACTGAAATGACGCTCTGGCCTGCAGTGACGAACCAGACAGAAGCGTACTGCAGTAGATCTGCTCTGGAGCGTCACATTGTGTAAGAGAGACGCACTGGAGTGAACACTCGACCCATACATAATGGGTGCACTAGAGTGTAACACCGAATGGAAGTGGTGCACTAGACGGAAAACGTCGAACTAACAGGGATTGTTGAACTTGATGTCATCACTGGAGTTGGAGGAATCGCCGTAGACAAGCTCGCACCATAAATCATTGTAGGCAAGTTAAATGCCGATCCAGAAAATTAGAGACACATTGCCAGTAGAGGCTGACAATGCCGTATCAGGTGTTTGAGAAAAGTCACTAGAACTGTCAATCGGGACTGTTACTGCGAAGTATGAAGTTCACTGCCCGAGTTGGTGGAGTCGTCCTGTCCGGATACTGGAGTCGGAAAAACCAACATAATTCTCGCTGAGGTAGGAATCCGATGCTGCATCGAAGTTCGTCATCCGGTGATGGTGATAAACGGCGAGCTGTTTAGTACGGACGATCTCACTTCGAATGTTGAGATGAGGATGGACCCTTGGACAGCTTCTGACGATCCCTGTCTGCCAATCGTCTTGTGCCCATTCCACGATAACGGAGAATGCTTCATCGTCCAAATTGGCACAATAAGAGCAACTGTGAAGCCCGTCACACCATCCGATACAATCAACGTACAGTGTGTGAGGATCAGCGGCAAGAAAAAATACTTCTGTAATTGTCACAATGTTATCTCTTCCGGGAAGATCAGTTACTTTCCTCATGATGAAAAGTAGAGACGAGTGGCAGACAGAGCATAACACACGTCCACAGCAGTGGGTGACAAGAAAGAGAATGACAGCTAGTGGACATCACATGATCATCTGAGCGCACTGCACGCTTATAGAGATGATTGACAGGTCATACTATCGGAGTGGGGGCAGAGGTCAGGTGGTACAGAGGGCAAGAAGTTTTGATTCAACTTAGCCTACAGCACGTTTCCACATATGGGTCGAAGACAAAGAGAGAGGTGCATACCGTCAGATAGGATAAGTTTAAAACTTACCTAGGTATGAAGAAACTGGTCTCATGTCTCCTACTGTGGAACAAACTGACACACACAAACTAGACTCACCTGTCTGGTATGATGAGGTCAGTGAGTGCATCTGCCACTCCCGGGATAACGGAGGAACCAGCCAGAGCAGCAGCTGTCATCACCTTCCGCTTCTGTCCTCGTTCCTCAGATGTGTATGTTGAGCTTGTTGCCAATTTCCTAGGGGCAATGCCATGTTCACCAAAGTCCTGATTGCAGTAAGAAAATGTGTATTATTTGTCTTACAATATCAACATTTATAGTTTATTTGTAAGTCATTCACGGGTAGGCCAGAAAAACTAGGCCAGATAAGAACCCAAAACTAAGAATGGCTTGTTAACTCTTGTGTATACATGTGCTATCATGGTGTGAATATTACTTACCTCATCATCCATGAAGTCTTCTGGCCTCTGAGCAACCATCTCCTCCTTGGAGGACCTTGAAGACAAAAAGCTGGATGGACGGAAACCTGATAAGAAAATGTTCACATTGTAATAAAATATAGCAGTCTTGTAATAAAGAAAAATATAATAGTCATAGGTTCTTCATTACTTCTGGCTCTAACAAAATGGTTAAGTGTCCACTAAAAATTCCCTTATTTAAAACAAAATGCAATTTTAGAATAAGTTAACATATATGTTTAAAAATACACACTCATTTCTCTCACACTGAAAATAGAAGTGCAATACAAGTGTGGAAATGTTATGAGGGCTTTTGTTTGATGTGAAAGAAAATGTAATTTTTATGATAAAATTTATATTTTATCTCCCTTCACCTTTCGATGGTCAAGTGCAAACTTGAATCCCTTTTAGTTCCCTAAAGTTGCACAATCACTTACACTCAAGTTGCCTCCCCCATCCTGCCACAGCGTACCCACGTGAATCAAGCCATGCTCTCATCACTCTCTCCGAATTTCGCCCACACTAAGGCTTGCAGGGAAGCCCATAGTGCTGAGAGTGGGGACAGTTGGGAGGGCTTCAAATCATGAGTCAGGATAAGTATAAAATATCAATTATCATAAAAATTACATATCTTTCCTTATCCTGACTCATGTTATATTGCTAATCGAATCCGATGGAATAGGTGATGGGTCAGCCACCTACGGGATTCACTGTGACTGTTCTTATCACGTCAACGTTCGATCATATACCCCCTGGGAACTCTTCTTGAACTGCATCAATCTTCCTGATGATCATCAGGAACACCTTCTCTTACATCCGTAAAAGAAGTAAATCATATAGTTTTCATGGATTTAAGATAAACTAGTACGCCTCGTTGTCTAGTTATCTTGAACGACCCATATATTAAGGTAAGGACTATTACTGAAACTGGAATTGCGACTCAATATGTTAGGTACGGACTATTACCCAAACTGAGCCTAAATCACTCATTTGCTGACTATCTTGTAAGACAGAGGAACATGGACTCTCTGCCTGTGACAATGGATCAGTTGCCTGGCGTCAACGAGTGTGCATGACAAGGGTGAGTATTCTCATTGTCTAGCTGGAATCATGAGTTGCTGCACTACTAAGCAAGGGGCCCGAACTGATGGATACCAGATACATCGTCAGTAGCGATATCCCAAAGATAGTGGTTGGGAAACACAGTGTCCGACTTCCAAAAGCAGCCTTCCATAATGGATGATAAAGAGCAGTTTCCATGTAGGGCGAGAGTCGAGGCCAGTGCTCTAACTGCATGAGGGTTCGATGCTCTAGGCGGTTCTAACCCAGCTGCTTTGTAGGCTCGTAGAATAACAGCTCTGATCCAGAATGAGATCGTAGATCGGGAAACTTCTATAGTCGTGGCGGGTGATAGTGAGATGAAGAGACGCTTAAACTTACTCCTCCTTGCAGCAGTTCTGTCCAAGTAGATTTTCAAGGCTCTGACTGGGCATGAGGACAGATCTTGTGTATCATCTGGCCCTAATATGGTTGATAGTGCCGGAACGTAAATCTGTCTATCCGGTTGGCCAGGTAACTGATTCTTGGCTATAAAATCCTATCTGAGGCCTAAATTGACTGCAGCACACTCTCCAGTGTCGTCTGTAATCGAGGGCGTGGATCTCTGACATCCAAGCAGCTGTAGCTAGGGCGAGGAGGAACAGCGTCTTCTGAGTTAGCAACTCAAATGTTGTCCGTGACAGCGGTTCATAATCATCACTAATAAGGTGTTGCAGTACTATGTTGAGATCCCAAACTGGAGCTCTAAACTTCTGCTGCTGATCTTCCAACTTGAACGATCTCAGTAAAGCGATGAGTTCAGGTACTTTGTTAAGTTTTACTCCTGTATCCATGGTGATTACAAGTAAGTTGCAAGCGTAGATCCTTTAAGGTGTTTACCAGCTCTAAGATGACACAAGTATTCTGCTACTTGTGGGTGCATAGTTTTCATGGCCGAAAACCCCTTACGAGCAGCAAATGGTCGAAGCTCCACCACTTATCATCATATAGATTCCGGCTAGATTTTTGTAAGGCTAGCTTAACTGCCTTAGCTGCTCTGACGGAGTACCCTCTTTTCTTTGAGCAGTGCGTAATACATTCCATGCGTGTAGCTGGAGCCCTGCTGGGTTGCCGTGCAGTTATTTGGTGTGAGGGTGGATCTGAAGATTCGCCAGTCTGGTAGACGCAGCGCTGGTTCCCCTAGTTGCTGTATGAGGTCCGGGAACCAGGTTCTTGCCGGCCAGTAGGGCGCGACCAAAAGCAGATGTCGGACTTTGGTCTGGCTGATCTTGTTTAGCACTTGAGTTAACAGTATCGGTGGCGTCCCTCCCATGATATGGCTAGAGCATCCAGAGCCCAAGCTTGAGGATCTGGTACTGGTGGCACAAACGTTGGCACTTGTTGATTGAAACTTGTCGCAAACAGATCGATGAGGGAACAATCTTGATCTACTGTTAACAGTTGGAACGCCTCCGGATGCAGCATCCATTCTGTGGGTGATGGATGGACCGATTGTGATAAGGTTCCTTGCCCCATCCAAAGGTTGATGTCGTCTGCTAGGTTGAATAGCTGGAATGTCAATAGTAACAGCGGCACTGATCTTATGGAGCCTTGGAGGTTTATGTCAAAGGCTACTGTTGAGTTGTCAGTGTGGATCATAAGGACTTGATTCCTTAGTAGTGTTGAACTGCTTCTATGACTGCCTTGAGTTCCAACTGATTTATGTGTAGAGCACTTCCTTTTTGTGACAAAGTTCCTGAGGCGACCTCCTTGTTGAAGTGTGCATCCCATCCTTCGAGAGATGCGTCCACGAACAGATGTCGGTTGTAGGCCTGCTCTTTGTAAATAAGTCCCGCCACAGACATTCAACTTGTCTGTCCACCAGAGTAGATACGAATGGCGATTCTCTGGACACTGTCTAAATGAGATATCACAAAGCGTTGTAACGGAAGTAGCTGCATCCTTCTTCTGCGCGTGAGAGCCTGAGCCGATGTGGGGAGACCTAGGAGCCCTTGCCACGCTCTTATAGGTAGTAGAGTGCTGATGGTAGACGTGCCTGGAAGCTTGCCCCCCGGGCTTCTTGTACCATAATGTGATCGAAGTGTACTCTATCTATAGCAAGACAGGTTGCCATGCAGCATTGAAGTGGACAGGAAACTGTACAGGCTGTCGTTTATATTGGTGAAAAGTTCCAAGATAAACATTGTTTATCCTGCTGTCAAGGCTTGACATCTATTTAGATTTCCCTGATGATAACGGAGTTGTATGCCGTTTTCCAGGCTGTAGATGACATATTCCACTTACAACGGGTTTGTTTACAACCCAGTGAGCTTGCTGGCATGTGACCTGTGAGTCAGGCATGCACAAGGCGTTGTCTTTTATCCTGGACCAATCAGCTTCCAAGCATGTGACGTCACTGGTGTTGTAACAAGTTGGCCTCCATGAATTCTGGTGCAATAGTGGGTTGAGTAAAAGCGTACGTAAAATGACGCCGCTCACATAAACCTCCCAAATGCCTTGAATAAGGGTTGCTCCAAGTGTTAAAATTCTTGTTCACTGATGTTAACCACGCATTCCGATTGTGGTTAGATATGAGCCAGCATAAACGAAGGAGGCTGTAGAGACGTATGCATGGATGAATCTTGAAGATTATCGATGTTGAATCTAGTTGATCGCAAATAAATTCCTAATCCATACGCTGGGTGACAAGCATTGATAATATCATCCTGTCTATGTCCGTCCTAGGATTCTTGAAGGCGTTGATCATAGCCTTGTTGATAGCCCTTCACCTGGCAAGCCCGAAGAATGCCATCCTCGTAGTGGTGTCAAGTTGAGCCATTTCCTTGTCCTCAACTCTGTAACTATGGGATTTCGAATCGCTAATGAGGTGGTAATCTTCGTGGTGGCATATGTTGATCCTATGCCTTCGTGGCCTTCGAAAAGGTCGTCTTAAGGTTCTCCAGTACTTGAGATATCAGTTTTTTAAGTGGTATAGTGATGGAGTCGAAGTCTTCATCATGTATGCAATACGTCTCTGCAGGGTTGGAGTCCCGAGTGGGTGATGATAGCAGGCCATCTGCTACCTAGGATAAGACCTCCACATCTGTGTAGGTTGTCGTAAGAAACTGAACCTACTACAGGTGTAAGGTTCACACAGGCTGTAGAGTGCGTGCAGGCTGTAGGGTGCGCGCAGGCTGTAGGATGCGCTCAGGTTGTAGGGTTCACGCAGGCTGTAGAAGGTCCTCGTAACATCATCCACAAAGTCATCTGGGTTGAAGGGGTGCGTGCAGGCCCCCGTATGTTGACATGGTACAATTGTTGACAACTCTGTAGGCTGCTCCGGTGATGTCAGCGATGCAGTAGCGTTCTCGAACACTAGGGGATATCAGATGACTGCCGCTGTAGATACGTATCAGTTGAATATCTGGGACGGTTCGCACACCCTAGTGAAGCCGGATGACTGCTGATAAGGGATTTCGCGAACCCTGTCGTGCTGTTAGAGGAGCTGCGAGATGTAGACTGCCCGGTCGATGTAGTAGATGGTACACATCTGCTCTGTGATGAAGGGTTCACGCAGGCTGAAGCCCTGGACAATCTAACGCTGACCTCTGGTTCTAACATTAGTGGCTGGAAGTACATTGATTTATCTGCTTCAACACTGGGCATCAAGTTGTTCGCAAACAACCGTTGTGTAGTAACTGGAGCCATAAATCTGAACGATCAAGTAGATTGTGACGACCTCAACGACGATGACTTCAATGTGTAGGGCTTCTTTGCAGGGGATGACGACTTCTACTTCTTATACTGCTGCGAATCAGACCCCTCCCTTAGAGGGGACTTCCTCTTAGAAGGGACTGAGGCGTTATCTCAGCAGAGACAGGAGACACCACGGGAAGTGACTCCGAAGACATGATTGGGTGGGGAATATGGCAATTCCCTGGGCAATTAACAGGCAGCAACTCACGATCAGATGACTGCAAATCAACCTTCTCAGGGGAGACTTTGCTGAAACTCCGCACCTTATCTAATGTCTTGCGTAAACGGGAACACACAAATTTATTAAATTCAGTTTCAGACAACGGTGCACAATATATACATCGTGATAATAAAGAACACGAATTCAATACACAAGAAGAGCCAACAGGGTGTGGATCAGCCGCTGAGATGCAGTACTTGTTTACATGTTTTCATATAACAGCAGTCACCTGAAACGGAGTGAAAAAGTACAAAGATTAGACATAATTTATGCAAATTGTTTCATCGTTATGATAATATACAGCCTAAATAAACCATTCACGGCATAATTTGGGTTAAAGACCTAAATATAAAAGGATATAAAGCTGCAAAAGGGACACTGAAGTGACCATCCAACTGTCTGCTTGGACGATGAGTGTATGCTTGAGTCATGTGGGTATGCTGTTGCGGAAAGAGGGAGGCAACTCAAGGGTGAGTGATTGTACTTTCGCTTCAGGGAACTGAAAGGTATTCAAGTTTGCACTTGACCATCCAAAAGGAGAAGGAAGATAATCAATATAGCATGAGTCAGGACAAGGAAAAATATTAAAAGATATGCAAAGTTTGTATTATACATGAAACTGTAAACAGAGGGAGAGGTTTTCTGTGTGTCCTTTCATTCCTAACCCTCCACATCAAGTAAAGTACCAAATATCTACAACATTGACACATGATGTACATCACAAAATGGCGTGTTCACTTACATAAGTACTTCAGATTTTACGCAGGGACTGTTGATTCAGGTATTGTATATACAGTGCATACATGTGACATGTAAGCAATCAGAAATATTCTGACAATCTGCATGTTGTTATTTTCTCCTTTCAGTTTTCTTTGTAACCACTGAAATTGGCAGAAATGTCAATCAATAAGTACAGCTGTTCTTGAGTGTGGGTTTGTGTCCTTGAGTGTGTGTCTTGGTGTCACACTGGATGAAACTATGACAAGTTTTGTTGAATTTACCAATTTACATAAAATATGTAAACTAGACAAACAGTTGTCAGACTTCCACTTTTTCACAAACACTATGCAATATGGCAGAAACATCCCTTTGGCGTGTCTCCATACTTCCCAAAACATTCTTAGAGATTCCAGGATTGGCACCAATGGCACCATATTGCAAAGGACAACAGGCATGGTGTGTTTGCTATGGAAATAAAACTCTTGGTAAATGTGAAAACTATAAATTCATATAATGCGAAAAATATACATGTTACTTGTGATATCTGTATTGGTTTGGCCATGAAACTACCAGGTAAGCACTTTTTATATAAAAGAAGAGCAGGACGCATTTGAAAATATTAACTTTGGAAAAGTATTATGATAACACAAAACTATCTCCCATTGTATACTCTCCCACATCCCTGCTCCAGTTATTGTTGTAGGTAGTCAGGAGGTCTGTGCAAAACGTGCAACTTGACCTGGTTGACCATGTGACTAATCAGGCGGGAGAACATTGTGTCACATAGGATAATTATAATATTTATTGTGAAAATTTGTATAATTTTAAACTTATCTCATGGTTGGATGGAGGGGTGCAGGTTACCCAAGTCTGTAGGTAGAAGACAACTGAGAGTAACCTAGCTCATAAGGAGGCTGACCTGGTATTCTTATTGAAGATCAGATCCTAGTCTTGAACTTGTGAAGGGATGTTTTAGAACCCTTAGGGATACTTTACATGAACTCCATATCCTCCATACTCTTTGTGGCCAAAGGCAGTCAAGGAACATGCCAGAGGAACATTGCGAAATCCCCATACAAAGAATTTTAGACCCGTGAAAACTTTGCCATGCTGTTTCCTTTCAAAGCACACTCTGTTAACATTCAAAGCAGGGATTTCTGAGATGCATGCTGCTGCTGTCTATATCTTTGAGTCTTCTGTATTTTCCCATGTGTGGATGTACAATGGAGATGGTCAGAGTGTGGAAGATGGATCAGCAAGTCTCTTGGTGGAAGAGGGTTTTATCTGCCAGGTTTGTCAGATTTATAAACCAACTTATTGGGAACCAAAAGGGTGCAAACAAAATCTGAGGAATTTCTTGCTTAACTGACATTTGTAAAGAATTTTGGATGAAGGACAATGGGAGGGAACACATAAGCATCTAGAGTGCCAATCCAAGATACAAACATTGGCAGATGAGTATTGAATCAAATCGCAAAAAGTTCCACCTGGGGATTGCTAATCATTAGGCAGATTGAACAAAATGTCTCCTTTCAGTTGGCAACGGTCGGTCTGGGTGAAAGAAAACATCAGCGATGACATTTTGTACTCATGGATTGTGTCTTGCTCTGACCTTGATATGAGGTGTGAGAAAACTTTGATTGCACTTTGAGTGTTGATTGCAAATGAATCATGAGATTGGTCGATCAAAGACGTTGAACCAATGGGATGCTGCTAGAATCGCAACTAGGGATGTATCAATGCTTTGAGTGGAATCAAGGAGGCAACATCACAGAATCTACATCCAGAGAAGGAGACATAATGATGGCTGACAGTCTGTGTACATTAGAGTCTGCTAATGAAAACCGAGAAGGCAGTCCTTCACTCGGCGAACCCATCTAACATGGAAGATAGATCTTTAAGGATCATCATATGAGGCAAGTAGTAATCCTTCATGATGAATGAAGTTGATTGATCCGATACTAAGAACTCTTTTGAAGTTGAAGCTTATCTAAATCAACATGGTGCAGGAATGACACTGTCAACATTGCCTGCTGAGAGCGTCAATCATAGCAGCGTTAAGGAGGAGAGGGCAAAGTACTAGACAAAGGAATATGTAATCTTTGACGAGAAGATGGAGAATCAGGCTGTTGAGCATTCATCAGCGCAACAGACCAAGCCTGTCCGATGGACTGAAAATCAGTAGGCCGATAGTAGTCCAAGCATGCTTGGATCAGTGATCCCAAGAGATGGGTAGCATCAGTGAAGCAGGAATCGACAAAAGACACTGGAGACATAATCCTTGGAGGAAGGATGGACAGTGTCATCATCAGTACTGTCGAAGTGAAGGATCAGTACATTGGGATTGTTGGTGGTCTTGGAACCCATGCAAGCATTGTCGCAAGGGGAGGGTTCGTCAAACTTTTCGGAAGAAATTACAGATCAACTTGTGAGATTGCTGAACTTGGGAGTTAACAATGAACCTGGAGAGATCAACAATCCTTCAGAAAAGACTGACAAACGTGATGAAACTAATGGGACATGCATCTGAGGATCGAATGATGATCATAGGACAAGAACAAGCGATCTTGAATTGATCATCATCCAGTTGAATGCAGGAGTTACAGATTGGCCCAGCTGCATATCCCAATACAGTTGTTGCAAAATGAGTCAGGATCCGGAGAAGAAATGGTCCATTTGCCTTCCTCTTCCTTGATAAGTCATCCTTGCCCATATTCCTCTTTTTGATTTATAGGTAATTAGAGGTATATAATAACCCTCTAAAACCTCTGTAGAAATTTATAATGATGGCAGAAACAGTTTCAATGTATAACAGGTCATTGAACAAGAAAGAGAATGATTTCAATTGGGTGTCATGTGGTCAGGCAGGGCATGCTTTGCACAGACTTCCTGTGACTATCTACAACAATAGCTGGAGCAGGGGGGAGTTCAGGCGAGGGGTTACAATGTGTTACACTGTGATGAAGAAACCTTCAGAGAAGCATGACCTTAACTCACCTTCATTTGAACCCACTGTGATGAAGAAACCTTCAGGGAAGCATGACCTTAACTCACCTTCCTTTGAACCCACTGTGATGAAAAACCTTCAGAGAAGCATGACCTTAACTCACCTTCCTTTGAACCCACTGTGATGAAGAAACCATCAGAGAAGCATAACCTTAACTCACCTTCCTTTGAGCCCACTGTGTTGAAAAAGCCTGCAGAGAAACCGCCCGTGAAAGCTCCATGAAACCTTGGGCGGCCACGGCTATCCTTGGCAGGGAGATCACTGACAGACACTGGTTTCTTTCTGGCTTCATCTGTTGCAAAAACAAGTGTGTTTTTATTACATGTCAGTAAAGACATTTTTAAGAAAACCTGACTATCATTTAAAGTACTTATAAATGCAGTATAATTAATATTTAATGGATTGTGTTCTTAACTTAATAACATGCTGCTAACTCTTGGTTCTGTTAAATTTTGTCTTCATTTTCTCTCACTAAAACAAGTTCTCTTCAGGAAACTGTAAGCAACATGTAATGGAGGAAATTTAGCTAAACCAGTAGAAGTTTCCAATTCTTTGAAGAGAATCGTCCTTGGGGTACATATATGCATTTTCTGCGGCTGAAAATGTCATGTGACAGTTGTACCAATGTTTTAATAAAAATATTGTACAATAAATAAAAATCTTTTTATCTATTATACGGCCCCCACCACGTGGAGTCAACCAGGTAAGCACCTAGGCCCGTATCATCATTCCTTCTGCTGAATAAATCAGTGAACAGAATTGCGGGGAGATGGGTGGCCATACCCCAAGGACGATTCTCTTCAAAGAATTGGAAACCTCTACAGGTTTAGCTTATTCTTTTTCATAGAGATCATCCTTGGGTTACATATATGCATTAACTCAGACTCCCAAAGACCGGAGGCTAGGGAGGAGGGAGTCAAAGTACACATAAATAGCGATCATTAGGAAGAATGTAACAGACGCCACAACACTCACCTGTCACGTGTCCCGAAGCTTCCGCGAGAGTCATGATGGGAGGGTAACCGACAGGGAGGAAAGTACTGAGACCCGACCTCACAGGTTAAGCAAAGCAATACGCACACAGTACGAAAGTAAAAAACCCGCCCACATCGTGAATCTATTAAAGAGCACCGTAAGGGGGAAAACCAACTCACAACCGACTATAATCTCATGAGAGAAATCGAAAGTAGTTAGATATGATAACAGCGGATATATCAATTATACACAATTGAAAGCAGCGTCAACTGTCCAGATAGCCAAGACTCACTCAGTCAGGGTGGCAGGACACTGTCCACTGGAGAGAACAGAACGGCCAAAATGCGCACGATCAGGTGAATGTGTATCAAGCTGATAGTGCCTGATAAAAGTGCTAGGCCTGCTCCAAATAGCAGGAGAGCATATCTCTTCAATGGGCAGTGCCGATGCAAAAGCTTTTGAAGTGGCCACTGCCCTGACCAAGTAAGCCTTGCCCTTAGCCTGATAAGCAGCACAAATGACCAATACAAGCCAGCGTGATAGGGTCTGTTTGATAGCCGGCATGCCAGCCTTCCTGCCACTGTAACAGCAGAACAGATGGGTACCCGTACGGATCCCTTGTGTTCGTTTGATATAGACCTTGAGGGTCTTACGGACATCCAACGGGTGAGTGCTCATTGCAGAGGTCCCCGATGTGGAAGGCTGGGTAAGAGTAGGAAGTTCAATAGGAGCTGTCACATGGAAAGCGTGATCGATCTTCGGATGGTAAGTATCCAGGAGGCGAATACTGACACGATCTGGATGTAACACAGTCAGCGCTGGGTCTGCTGACATAGCATGTAAGTCGCCAACCCTTCGCCCAGATGTTACCGCCACCAGAAATACGGCCTTCCATGTTAACAGCTGAATGGAAATAGCCGACAGACGTGAGAACGTAGGACCGGACAGCCAATCTAGCACGATTGACACATCCCAAGGTGGGCTGGTTCGCCTGACAGCAGGTTGAACCCAATCCACGCCAGCTAAAAAGAGCTGCATAAGAGGGTGCTGCCCCAGAAGAGCACCATCGATAGGGGTGTGGAAAGTGCAAATAGCAGTGGAGTAGCCACAAATGGTCGAAGCCGCCAAGCCTTCTTCCAAACAAGCTTGCAGAAACTCCAATACTCGGACTAAATCCGAAGAAAAGGGATCTGCAATCCCCCTATCTGAACACCAGCGCGCATAGCGGGACCACCTATCCTCATATTGAACGTTTGTCGAATCCCACCTCGAAGCCAGAATTGTGTCTGCAACTGCTGCAGGAATTCCGCGTGCTTCGAGGCTAGACCTGACAGAGGCCACGCCATCCACTGAATCCTTGGATTGGGGTATGGCGCGCCATTCTGAGTGAGAATGTCCGGTGGCAAAGGTAATAGAACAGGAGGCTGAGCCACAAACCTGAGAATTACCGGAAACCAGCTCTGTGACGGCCATAGTGGTGCCAGTAGCACAAGTAGCCAAGCTGGCTGGGTGGACAGCTAGGAGAGGACTTGGGGAATGAGTGGTAGAGGCGGAAACGCCCACAGCACCTTGTCCGTCCAATCCAGCAGGAAGGCGTCGGAAGCCAACGCCCCCTGGTCCGGTATTCGAGAGCAGAGCACGGGTATCTGATTCGTCCCGCCGGAAGCAAACAGTACTTTGTTACTTGCACTGGTGCAACCCAATGTTACAAAGTGCAATCTAGCTATTAGCTGAACTTGCACATGGTGCAACTCTATTTTTGAGTGGGTAAAACATCTAAATAATTCAATACCATATTTCTTACATTACATATTGCAATAAAAGCAGTGCAACTGGAATTTGGCTAAAAACTAGGTTTTTATCTTAGGTTGCACCTGGTGCAAGTAGGTTAACATCTTTTAAATCGAGCCCTGAAACAGATCCACCTGGAACGATCCGTACAACTGGGAGATAACTCCGAATATCTGCCGGTCGAGCATCCACTCGTGCGGGGCCAGGATCCGGCAAGAGAGAGCGTCTGCTCGCACGTTCTCCAGCCCCGGGAGATAAACAGGAATCACCTGACAGTCGCACCAGAGGAGAAATTCCCACGTCTCCCGAAGGAGCGTTAGGGACACCTTGCTTCAGGATATACGTCATGGCCGTACGGTTGTCCAACTGAAGACGAACCACCTGGCCCTGAACATGCTCCCGGAAGCGCTCAAAACACAACCGCACAGCTATCAGTTCTAAGACGTTGATGTGAAGGCAGGCTTCGGCTTCGGACCAGAGTCCGGACACCGACAGACTGCCCAGAACACTCCCCCCCCAGCCCGTGAGGGACACATCGGTTTGAACTGTAAGAGCTGGCATCGGGATTTCCAAAGGGACCCCCTAGGAGAGATTCACGACATTGGTCCACCACTGAAAGTGAGGAGACAACCACACGGGGACTGTGAGACACTTCTCCAGATCCTCCGAGTGAGCCCACAGACTCGCCAAAGCTTGCTGTATAGGGCGCATCCTCAACCGCGCACGCCACACGACAGATATACTTGCCGCCATATGACCCAGTAGACGGAGCCAAGTCGGCGCTGGTGCCTGGGGCTGGGAGAGGAACGAAGACACCATCTCCCGTACTCTGGTGACCTGGTCGCGCGACAAAGAGACAAGACCCTTGTGAGTTGTGAACCGCGCTCCGAGAAAAACCAAGTCCTGGGTGGGTACCAGGTCGGATTTCTTGAGGTTTATGATCCACCCCAGTCGAACTAGAATGTCTATCACCATGTGGGTAGAATCTAGGCTCGCTGGCTGAGTTAGAGAGCTGAGCAACCAGTCGTCTAGGTAAGGGTAACAACACCTTCCTTGCGACCTTGCGAGGGTAGCCGGCACTAACATGAGCTTGGTGAACACCCTGGGGGCAGTGGATATGCCAAAGGGGAGCACCGTGAATTGGTAACACATCCCGTCGTAAGAGAACCGGAGGTACTGCTTGAACGAAGGATGAATTGGCACATATAGATACCCATCCATTAGGTCAATCGACTTAAGCCAATCGCCGGGCTGAACAGAGGAGATCACCAAGCGAAATGTCTGAAATCTTGAAGGATGGAACCTCTAACATGCGATTCAACCTCTTGAGGTTGAGAATGGGACGGAACCCGCCGTCCTTCTTCGGAACGAGGAAGTACGTGGAATTAAAACCCGCCTGTTCCTCCCCCGGTGGTATGTGCTCTATTGCAGACTTGTCCAGCAAAGCCTGAACTTCGTCTTGCAGTATACCCGCCTTGACGGACACGATGGCACCGGAGTGCGTCTTATGCCGGTGAACTCTGGCAGGGCTCGCTTCCACAGTGGTAGATGGCCGACACTGACGGTGGATAGCACCCAAGTGTTGCTGGTAGCCTTCTCCCATTCCGATAGGAATAGAGAGAGGCGGCCCCCCACTGTGACGTGTGCTAAGAGTGCGTGAGTGGTCCCGTGCAGATGAACTGGCTGGGACGGACCCACGGCGACAGCCTGTAGGTTTAACGGGAGGTCGGGGCAAACCCCCCGCAACCGCGAAAAGGCTGCTGGGAGCCAGACGAAGAGGCCTGCTCCTTGCCCTTACTTTTGGCGGGATGGCTCCTCTTCCTACCACTACCCAGCGGCAGACTCGGGCGTAGGCTGCGCTCCGGAGGAAGAACCCGCTACAGGAGCGCAGGGAGCGATAAGCCTGCGGTTGCTCCAACAAGGCCTTAGAGTCCTTGAAGGAGGTAGCTGCTGCAGCAGCCTCCCGTATGACCTGCTGTGCCCCCAGAAACGTTGCTCCCAGCCAAAACGGAAGGGCCAGCAAGGTCTGCTGTGTTGCTGCCGAATAACGGGATGTAGACAGCCACAGCTTGCGCATCCCCATGACTGCGCACATCACCGTAGACGCGGCAGACCGTAAAGATTCTCGCGTCAGGTGGGCCTGTACTTCGGATAGTTGGCGGAGCAGAACAACATTCGGGGAAACGTCACTAGTGCTCCCTTCCGCCTCCAGAGCCGACCTTTGTATCGAGGAAAGGTACGCCTCATGGACCACGACCCGCACCTGCTGCAGGGCATTCCGGTAGAATTCCTCGTAAGTCCGGTATGTTTGTTGCAGGGGGGCGCCCGCTAGGGCAAACGGTGGTACTAACCGCACTTGCTTGGCAGCCAGGGCTGCACCTGAGGAAGCCGAGCCTCCCCGAGGACGACCGAAGTAAACACTCACTCGTCAACCACCGGCACAAAGAACAGAGAATCATCCCCCAGCTGATATCTCTTAACAAGTTCGGGTAGAACGAACCGTAGGAGAGAACCAACCAGGAGGGG